CCCCCAGGTCTTCCCGGCCGCCAGCCGAGGCTGCTCGCTTCCGCGGGTTCGAGCGGCTGCATTTCACCCCTTGCCCCACACATCAGTGGGAATTTGGACTAGGAAAGGACTCCGCAAAAGCGGCAGGAAGACCTCACATTTTTGCCTCAGCAGTACTCAGTCACATTCGTTTAACATGAAACTGAACCTCTGCATATAGAACATTTTTCATTTTAAGCATTATGAGATTCCCGGTGTCTCTGGGGCCTTTGTTCGCGATGTTGCTCGGTATTTGAGTTTGGGGAGTTGAAAGCTCTGCCTGGCAGACTGTGATTCTGTACCAAACGTTCCCCAGGAAGTCACAGAGATACCTTGTCAAGTTTCCATTATTTTTAATTACCTGATGACCCAAGTTGTTGTTTATGTGTAATCAATTGCATTCTATTTTTCTGGTGCATCATATTCACACATTTGTCATGCAGCTTTGCAAAGAGAGTGACCATGAATCAAGAGAAACTGAAAAGGAAAATAGGTTTTTCTGAGAGCTTGACAATTTTTGGGTCATAAACTTTTCATACAGAGCTCAGTTATACCGCAGTATTCATATGGAGAGGCACATTCAATGATGTGGTGTGGGGGGACGGCGTCTGCAGATAATTGTATTATTAATATAAAGGATGAACATTCTGAGTATTTTATGCATTATGCAGTTTATACGTACAGCTGCATTAAGAAAACAAATAGCTGAAATCACTGAAATACAAGCCCGTTTGTACGCTGCATGTGAAATGAAACATTTAATAAATATGTACCACATTTAAAATGCTGTTTTCAGACATCTGAGGCTTGTGACTTTCTGGAGTAATGTCATGGATGTGCAAGCTGAAAAAGCTGCAGTCTGTGTTTACACATTTATGAAAATGCAAAAGATCTGATGTATATTTGTACGATTTGTTGAGAGGCAAATAACTTTGGAAATAGTTTTTTTCAGAATTATTTGCTGTGTGCATTGTAGGAAGCAGATGTGCACGCTGCCAAAGGGAGCTGATACTCATTAATGGGAAAAAGCTTGTAACTGGGGGTGTGTGTGTGTCTGTGTGTGTGTCTAAGAGCAAGCGGTTATTGCAAGCTCGCTCCTGGAAAGCGTATACTATTCGGAGGCCTGATCCCAAACCTACCGGAGTTGCTGAAAACACTCCTCCTAATTCAGAGGGGCTTATAACCATGGTTTGAGTGAAGTCTCCTCTCCCTCTGACATACTGGGCAGACCCCAAAGCAGCAACCACTTCACCTCTGCCTCATCTGAGTTTCACCAGCTGTAAGTGGCCCGAGTTACCGGCTTTGCTGGGTGGGTAGCGCTCCCCGTCCTTCAGTTGTGTTCTGAGTGGGGGTCGTGAGCTTACAGCACGTAAAGGGAAGGCTCTGTTCCAGGGCAAGTGATTGCAAATAATTGTGAGTGCAATTCTGGACAATTGTTTGCACAGAAAATGTACGCAATGTAAATATTTAGTTCCTGATCTTTGTAGATGAACAATGAGCTGTATATGCAGTGGCCAAAGGATCTGCAATTGTTTTTATCTGCAGTGCTTAGAATCCACAACATGCATCAATTTCTTTGGGAATAAGATGAAAATGTAACTTTAAACATTATTGCCAATTACTTGACCCATCTACATAGGTTATTTATTAAAAAAATGTAATTAGCAGATTACCTGTTTGGCATCTTGTATTCTAACTCAGGATTCAGGCAGTTGGATTCCTGCTATGGGTCTGTGCAAAATCCTTCAATGATAAAGGTCCAGGCCTCCCACTCCTCACTCATACCCGGGGTGGGGGAAGGTGTTGAGGAGAGATGCTTACATGCTTTCTTGCCATAGTACCTAGCCGAATTGTTAGCAGAGTGCCTGTCTGGTGCAGGGGTTCAGATGATGTGGGAAACATCGCAGACCTTGGCTTGGAGGCTGTCTGCTTCTGTGTCACTCTCACTAGGATCTCCAGACCAGTGCCTGTTCTTAAAACACTGTCACTAAGATGGCTTGCTCGAGGTCTAGGCATCCTTGTCGTTGCATGCTGTGGGTGAGGGGCATGAGCTGATCCCACTACATGCACCCGATTCCTTCCCAGGTGATCTGGATGGCA